CAAATGTAACTATCTAAGACCAGATGAGTTAACACTGTCAAGTCCTTTCATTGTCAACTGTGTCTAGTGCTTTAATTTTGAATCCTTCATGCCTACCAGCACATTGAATAATGAGTCTAAACAATTTAGCTTCAGTGCATTACACACATTTCATATTGCTCTTTAGCACTAAACTTCATATCACTTCACAAGCATACTTACAAAAGAAAACATATTTTTGTATATTTGATTTTGTAACCTTTTTGTATTTTTTTATATTTTTTGATTTCTCCCCCTTAATTTATGCATGGGGAATAAAGAAAATAAAATAAATGCGCAAATTTAAAAAAATTGTCTTCAAAACGAATCATTTTAAGAGAAACTTAGAAGTATCGAGAAGAAAACTCAAACCGTAATTCAACAATTGAAGTTGCATCCAGATGATCTGAGAACAACACACAGATGCAACAACATGTTCAGCCTCAGATGTGTTTCAATTTCAGAATGAAGTTAGTATATTCAATATTCAGCATGCCATTAAATGCGATCCCTATTTGTGATCCAATTACAACAATGTATTTCCAATTTCTTTTTCTTATTAATCAACTTTAAAAATCCTACCTAATTGCATATTGTTATAATTATAATTATGAAGAATTTTCAAATTACAATGTTGTAATAACAATACCTGAGTTAAAAAATGTTATCAGGAAAGTAATCGGAGTAAGGTATTACAGAACAATCAGCGTTTACAACACCCCAAGGGACATGAACGAACATGGGACTTACATCACCTCAACAGCTACCGGAAACACCGTCTCCAACGTGTAGCACCTGGTTCTCGGTACGTATATCTTGTAATTAAAATTCATAATTCATGCATTTTTGCCTTGGACTCGGCGAGTTGAAATACCGACTCGCCGAGTAGGAGCGGGATGAGACACGGGGTCTGAGCCTTGGACTCGGCGAGTTGGCCATGTTTGGGCAAAAACCCTAACCCGAGTATTGACACCCTATTTAAGCGCACTAACTCGGCCTCCCTTGTCCCAAGCACTTCCAGAGAGCTGTAGTGAGAGACCCTAGCCCCTATAACGTTCTTGTGAGTGAGTTTTGCTTGGTGAAGGAAGTTTGGAGCTTAGAAGAAGAAAGAGGTGGTTGAAGAGTACAAGGAAAGGAGTAGATCCGAACTCTACTCAGGGAGAAGCTTCCATTCAGGTAGAAAAGTCCCTACCTTGATCTTTAGGTCATTAGATACCATTTTTGTCCCAATTTGGTGGTTTTCAAGCCATAAAACACCAAACTCCATGTGTTGTGCTTAATGATCCGAAAGGACTTCAGATCGAGACTTATTGGATGTATTAGAAGCATAAAGTTCCTATGGTTGAAGTGATTGAGGTCCCCATTGAGTCTATGACCTCTTAAAGAGCTTGGAATTGCATTTTTGAGCTTATAGGGCCATGCATTGTAACATCCCAAACATACGAGCCAAAAATTTCATTTTTAAAATACATATTTAGCAAAACATTAGAAATAAAACATTCACTGATCATATCATTTCATAAAAGATGTGCGTGTCTGGAAACCAGTTTATAAAAACATAACAATGTCAGAGTACAAATCTCCAGGAAGATCTCATAGTGCGGAATACAAAGCGTGTGTGTGATGTGCCGCTACCGCGCCAGCTCCTTCCCCTTCGAAGAAGAGGTACCTGAAACCAAAACTGAAAACTGTAAGCACGAAGCTTAGTGAGTTCCCCCATCATACCACATACCATAATATCACATATCATACATACTGCCAGGCAATTCTGGGGTGCCCGACCTACCCGGTATGGCAATTCTGGGGTGCCGACCTACCCGTGTCAAGCCGTTCTGGGGTGCTGACTACTTATCGGTCCTAACAACCGATCCTCGGGGAATATTTCACCCCCTCCTGCTACTATCACAAAATATCATAACATAACATTTTATCAGACATATCTGGGGTATCCGATCTACCCTTCGGTCCTAACGACCGCACTTGGGGACTATTCCCCTCCTACTACCACTATCACATATAACATATCATGCCAGCATATAAACATATCAGGTAGTAGCAAACGTAGATGATATCACAAATACAATCATCTAACATACAACCCCTACAGGTGGGCCGTCATTGTGGCCGTAGACCCACCGCTACTGGAAGGTAACTCACCTCAAAGTAGCTGTTGATCTGTGTGGGAACTGATTGTCTTCATCTGCTGCTGCCCCGAAAATCTTCCGGCTGTAATTCCCACAAAACACTCAGTCAAATACGGCTAATCGACCTCAGGGTAAAATGACCATTTACCCCTAACCAAACCAAGAGTCAAAGTCAAATTCAACTTCCAGTTGACCCAACTCGCCGAGTTGGCTCGCCAACTCGTCGAGTCCCTATCCATTCGATTGGCCATAATCCCGTATCTACTCGTCGAGTTAGGCATTGACTCGACGAGTTTTCCTTCTAAACCGATGTCCAATAGTCCTTCATCCTACTCGCCGAGTTGTAGGAACAACTCGTCGAGTTCATCTTCATCCGAAGAACAATCTATGCTGATATTCGCCGAGTTGAATGAACAACTCGCCGAGTCTGTTCTTGAGACAAGAAGATTGCCTTGAACTCGCCGAGTCAGTACATTGACTCGTCAAGTTCCTTCATGAGTGAGTCTGGCTTCCGACCCACTGAGTCACACCCCATGACTCACTACTCCACCCAGCAAACATGAAAAGCGGGAAAACTCGGGGACTCGCGACTCGACTCGCCGAGTCCGATAAACGACTCGCCGAGTCTTTCACATGCAAATACTATATACTCGATTTTGCTTGAATCCAAATCATGCCATACATAGTTCTGGGTTCTTAGTGCTTGATTAACACGTAAAGTTTCCAACTTTACGTGTAAATAAACACCAATGAAGGTTTTAGGGCTCAAAATGCACTAAAAGAGTAGATCTAGCGCTTTCATGCAATATGGATTCATAAAGGTAGTGGATCCGAGCTCCTGGAGCTTAATCATGCCTAGATCTAAAGGTTAATCGGCTTATTACAGATCCTGAATCATACCCAAGCTTGGAAATGGCTTAAGAAGAACTTTAATGGAGCTATAAGGAACTATAAGCATGAAAACAGAGGGAAACTGAGTTATACCTCAAGGAAATCACTGAAATAACACCAAGATGTCTGGCTTCCTTCTTCTCTTCTTGATCTACTCTCCTTTTCTCTCAAAATCTTCAAGAAAACACACCAAAGCACTTCAATCTCACAAGGAACAAGGGTTGGACGATATAAGGAGCTCTGAGGGTGAAGGGGGCGAGCTTGGGGCGCATAAGGTTGGTTTAAATAGGGTGCAAACCCTTGGAATTAGGGTTTTACCAGACAGCGGGGACTCGCCGAGTCCAGGATATGGACTCGCCGAATCGCCAATTTAAACATGTTCCATATCCCGTCTCTACTCGGCGAGTCGGGCCTACAACTCGCTGAGTACAAGGCTAGAATTGCAAAATACTTAGATAAATTTACGTACCAGGAACCAGGTGCCACATGCATGCACGTAAAGTTTGCAACTTTACGTGTTAAACATGCCCTTGGACCATAGATCTATGGTTTTGAAGCGTTGCATGTCTTAGATTTGGCCTATATGGGCAATAGGTCAAGGGACTCGGCGAGTTCCATGAAGATGGCCTTAGACTCGGCGAGTTAGATGAACAACTGGGCGAGTCCTATGAAGATTACCTAGTAATTGACGAGTTGTTCTTCAAACTCAGCGAGTCGTATGAACAGTTACTGAGTACGAGGGGTTTAAGTGTTGGAAGTCAAACCCTTCGTGTTTGCACGTAGAATTAGCAATCTAATGTGTTACAATAGTCCCAAAAGCCCAAATCCTCATGAAGGATGCTCGGATCTGGAAGCGAGTGGGAGGTCTGCTCGCATGGACTCGTCGAGTTGTTCTTGGACTCGGCGAGTCGGATCGCGAGTCGGTGATATCATCCCAAGTAGCGAGTTAAGGGCGACTCAGTGAGTGGGAAAAGGGACTTGTAGAGTGGGAACGGGTTAGTAGGAGAAGGACTCGGCGAGTCAGTGCCATGACTCGGCGAGTCCAGTCAACTGGAAGTTGACCTTGGACCAGGGGTGGGTCAGTCACCTGACCTAAGGATGTGTATGAGAGGCTAACCTATGTTTATGATTTATAACCAGAGGATTTGTGATTCAGCAGTCAGGCGCTTAGCAAGCAGACTTCAACAGCTACTTTTGAGGTGAGTTACCTTCCAGTAGCGGTGGGTCTACGGCCATAATGCTGGCCCACCAGTAGGAGGTGTATGTTAGATGATTGTCTTTGTGATATCACCTAGGTTTGCTACTACCTGATACGTTATATGATGGCATGATATGTTATAGTAGTAGAGTTCGGTCGTTAGGACCGACGGGTAGGTCAGGCACCCCAGCTATGTCTGACGGTATGTGATGATATGTTTATATGCCAGTATGATCTGTTATATGTGTTAGTGGTAGTAGGAGGGGAGCAGTCCCCGAGGTTCGGTTGTTAGGACTGAAGGGTAGTCAGCACCCCAGAACGGGTTGACATGGGTAGTCAGCACCCCATAATGGCTTGACACAGGTAGGTTGGCTCCCCAGAATGGTCGTACCGGGTAGGTCAGGCACCCCAGAATTGCCTGGCAGTATGTATGCTATGTGATTATATGGTATGTGGTACAGTGGGGGAACTCACTAAGCTCCGTGCTTACGGTTTTCAGTTGTTGTTTCAGGTACCTCTTCTGTCAAGGGGAAGGAGCTGGCGCGTTAGCGGCGCATCACACACGCTCTTTTGATTTCCGCACCAAGAGTCATTCTGGGATTTTGTACTCTGACATTTTCATGTTTTATGTTTTGGTTTACGGCCACGAGACATGTTTTATCAAATATTATAATCGTATGATATTTTGTTACAAACGCTTTTTCAAAATCGTTTAATTAAAAATGAAATTTTTGGCTCGTATTTTTGGGATGTTACACAACACTTCTTACTACGGGCTCGCGATGGACTCCGCTAAAGGCGGTTTTCCGGCCCGGCGCAAGGGTGGCGGCGTATCGTGTATGTGGGGCTCGAGGGTGCCTTGGATCGGTTATATTGAAGGCATTTGATGATGCGATTGAAGATGGTGTGGATATGTTGTCACTATCGCTTGGTTCTTCGGCGAGATTTGGGCCGAATTTTCATAGAGATCCGATTGCGATTGGATCGTTTCATGCGGTGGAGAAGGGGATTATGGTGGTATGTTTGGCGGGGAATGATGGTCCGAATCGGGAATCGGTTGTTAATATTGCGCCGTGGATACTTACGGTGGCGGCGACTTCGATTGATCGGAATTTTCAAGCGGATATTATTTTAAGTGATAAAACGTTGGTAAAGGTAATCACTAAAAGAGAGTGTTTTTTTTTTCCTTGTAACAAATTAAACAGAAAACTAAAAAAAATATATTCCTAGTTTAGAGAAAACAATTCTAAAGTATTGTGGTAAAAGAAATTATTGAAAAAATTATTGTGATTGTTATCTTGAAGCAAATTAAAAAAAAAAAAAAAATAAGCAATTAGAAAATTATTTTTCCTGTATAAAATTATTGTGGTAAAGTTAAAGGTATCCCTGTAATTATTGTGATTGTTGTCCAAATTTTTGTTTTTTCATTTGAAAAAATTATTGTGATTGTTTTCCCTTAACAAATTAGAAGAAAAAACAATTAAAAAAAATCATTTTTCTCGTTTTACATATGTTTTAAAAAAAACAAAATCTAAATTATTATGGTAAAGGTAATCATGAAATAATTTTTTTACAAATTTTTGGTTATTTATTTGAAAAACTATTGTGATTGTTTTCTTATAACAAATTTTAAAAATAAATAATCAGAAATAAATTTTCAGTTTTAAAGAAGTTTATTAGAAAATCTAAATTATTGTATAAACGTAATCACTAAAACAATTGGTTTTGGTTTTTCTCTTAATAAAATTACTGTGACTTTTTTTTCTTTAACAAATTAAAAAAAATAACAATTAGAAAATTGTTTTAATTAGTTAACATTAATAATAGTTTAATTGTTTTACCGTTCCCTATGTTCGATACCTTACTAATCTGCACTAAACTACTATTTGATTAAGTACACTGCCTATCATGTGTTGGTTTTTGTTTAAGTTAGTTAGGATTAAAACTAGTATATTTCACACGTATCAAAAATCAATCACAGAAAATCGAAAGAACGCATCGAGTAAATAAGATATGCTTGGCTCATATTACGTTTGTAACGAATACAAGAGTTTGGGAGAGTTTACAGCAACGAAAAGAACAAAAGATACTCTCGACCCTAATACATACCCTATTTATAGGGTGTTACAGACAACAAAAAAGTACAAGGACTACAGGTTTGAGTTCGAATTCAACACGTGCCTTGCAACTACATATAGAGTTGAAACCATTCAGATTACGCACCCTTGCAGACTAAAAAGTATCCCGACTTCTCACTATCTACATTTTGAACCCAACACAATAACTCTGATAGTCCATTCATAGCACAAATTCTCTATCCAGGAACAAATAGGTTACCACACATTTCGCCTCTTAATCCCTAACCATCACATCATCGTGTCAATCACTCATAAAACAATAGGCATCATCTTCACAGTCGATGTACAACATAGACAATGAAAGTTGTTGTTCCCGATTCACTTCTCCTGATCACCTGGAACAACCTACCAAAACACGCTCTAACTGAACTCAATGAAGGCATATCCCTGGTCCTCATCTTGTACAGTCTCTACGAAAATAACTCTCTTTCCACATAAGAAATATCTTGAGGCGATCAAACCACAAGAATCCTCTAGTACATTTCCACCTTTATCGCATATACTATAACCATCCGGTCCCGCCCCCTGGGTCTTCCTCTTATCTCTACAATCATACGCTCGCTCTCTCTTCCCCCAACATATAAAACGGGAAGAGCATAATCCTCGTCATAGAAAATGACATCATAATCCATCGGCCGATCACTCAATCTCAAGACTGAAATCCTCAAGCCGCTCATCCTAAACTCTCCCTCATTGAGTCCCACGCCTCAGACTGACACTACCTCAAATAGGGCCCCCAAGACCTCGAAATCAACTACTCATCTAGGTCAACACCATTCAACCCCAACTGACATGGACACTAAGGCCCAAACAATCACTAGAACCGTCTTCTTCCTGGAGAGCCATAACCGAAAAGCTGATAATACCCAAAATGCCGCAACAGATTCATGGTGCCAAACCATGTTCCTACCCTCAACCAGCTCCTTAGAATTTCCAGGACTTTCCCTGATTCGAGTACGAATCCTGTGCTTCTAGTAGTATGGACCCAATACTACCTTCCACACCTATCCGTACTTTCCTCATAATCATTTTGATTCCTCTAAGTCACTTCCTCATAATGATACGCTCCAAAATATGCTAAAACGTGCACCACTCGCGCTAAAGCGCTTCCTAGGCTCTCTTAGGATTCCCACCTCACCCTGCCATCAGGTGATGAAGGACTCTCATCAATGTCAACTAACTACTTCATGAATACAATTACATTCAACAAACCAAAATAATCCTTTGACTATAAGACTCAACCCTACAACGGTTAGACTCAGACAAGAGTTGCGCAATAGGGCCATATCAATTATTCTGAGATTATTTATTCTTTGCAACATTTAACTTAGCATATTCATTCAATAATTAAACTACATCAATATGAGTCCTACAAAGCACAAACCAAGCAACATTCGAGCATCTAGAACTAAAAGCATTGCATAAACAGACAATCTTATCTCAGTAGCTCCTAAAAATATCTAGTCACTAGCATGGATCACTACCATAAAACTCACACAACATGCATAAATGCATCTCTCCTAATCAGGCATCCTACCCTGCAACATTGAGAATATCCTTATCCTTAATCTAGCATGTAATTCTCATATACTCATATCAAACATCAATCATAAAACACGTATGGGTATTTTGGGAAATACTTACTTGATTTTGGCTGATTGCGCGCATCGTACTCCTTCTTATTAAAAGAAACTTTTAGAAAATCATTTTCCTTTAGAAAATTTTACTAATTCCTCAGTTTGAGTTCAAGCACACTCGAGAGTATGCCCGAATCCCTCAAACCAAGGTTCTGATACCAACTTGTAATGCCCCAAATTTCAGCCAAAAAATTTCAATTAAAATCTAAGTGTTTATTCAAATCACAACTACAAAATTTTAAATAGGACCATTTAATCTTAAAACATTTATCATAGTATCGTCAAACGTTATAACATGTACAAGTCTCCCATTAATGCGATGCAATCGAGTTGTGCCCCTCCTTCATTATAAGAAAACCTGAAACCATTTAAACCACAAATCATAAGCACAAAGCTTAGTGAGTTCCCCTAAATACCACACACAACACAACACAAATAAACAACTATGAGTTATCAACAACCCTGGAGACTACCCAAAGTCTCAATGGGCAAATAGCATGCCCTATGGGTTATCAACAACCATGGAGACTACCAAAGTCTCGGCACATACAATATCACATATTATAGTAAAAGAAATAAGACCCAGCTGGTCAGCACGTATATACTACCACACCGGCAAGCATATAAGAGTCGCAAGAGCAACAAGCATCCTACATACATAACTTAATGGGTCGGCATTGGGGTCTTCGACCCACGAGCACAGTGAGAAGACTCATCTGAATTGAAGAACTCTGAAAAACTACAATACGATCCCTTTTCTAGACTACTTGCACCAGTGAATCCACTAACACCAGAACCAGATAAAGTCTTAACCAATAGCCCAAAATCCTCAAGTTTGACCCAAGGTCAAACTTGATCAAAAGTCAACGGTCAATGGAAGTCAAAGTCAACAATTCAAGAAACCAACTTGAGGTTGAGTACGCCCAGCGTACCCAACTCGTACGCATCACACACTCACCGTCCATAATCGGGACCCCATACGAGTACGCGTATCGTACTTAAAGGTACGCCCAACATACTCGGTTAGATGATAGTGATGCATTAAGTGATTATTCTCTTAGGTCCTTTCATTGATCACTCAGATCTAGTCCCATAACATCATTCTAAGTCATAAAGTTCCCACCTTTATGACTTTCCATCTTTAGAAAAGCTCCAAAAGCCAAAACCCTAACTTATTAATCCATTAACACATCATGACACTTGCATGGAAGGAATATAAGGACCAAGATCACATTTGTATGGGTCCTAATAGCTCCATAATGGATAAAGTTTCCAACATTATCCATTTGAATGGTCCAAACCACCAAGATCTAGTTTTTAAGTCTCAAAGGGACCAAAAGAGCATCTCTTCCAACTTAATCCATTAACTCCAAGTCTCCAACCTTTAGATCTGAATCAATATGATGTTTAGATGGATAAAGTTTTGAACTTTATCCTAAAGGTTTGTATCGATCAGATACACTTCAAGTATGAATAGAAAATGTAAAAGTAATCTAAGAAAAATAATAAACAGAAAGTAAATAACACAGAAGTTCTCTAAATTGTTCTTTCACCAAGAAAGAGTTTTGTCTTAACCAAGAAGACATGTTTGTCACAAAGACGATTGACACAAAGCACGATCACAACATTAGGGTTTACCCTAATGTTGTATATATACTAATCTATACATTTATATCACTTGATTGAAGGGATTACGTCTGATTTATAGTAAGAATCGATCTTATCACACAAATACCGGATATATGATCTATTTTATACTTATCTATAACATTACCTAATATACAAAAGATTACAATTAGAAAACTGAACTGTAAACTGATGTTGATAATCATGATACGTTGGCGCTTTAGATGTAGTAGACGTTGTGTTGATCTATCAATGTGTCATGTGTTTGACTCATAGATCATAAGTTGTGACCTTACAATCTCCCCCAATCTGATGATGGCAAAACTAAACTTGTGACATCCTGGAATTTAGGACATAAACAATAAACGACTAAATTAGGGGGAAAGCTGTTTGTGACCTAACTCGTTCAGTTTTTATTTCATCTAAGGAAATATAAACAATTTCCATTCCATTTTATTGATGGGTTTTGGTCATAAGACATCCTATGTGCTCATACAAACCCTAATGCTTGGATCTAGGTTTCTCTATTGTACATGCTTTGAATCCAAGACTATAAACCCTAATTCTAGCATATGGAAATCAATATTAACATATAATTAGGTTTAAGATATTACCTTGATTGTTATGTAGTAATAACAATCCCAATTCCTCCTTGAATTGACTTTGGAATGCTTAGAGTCACAAGTGTCACTCCTCTAATGGTTTACAAACACCAAGAGCAAATAGAGAAGGTATAAAGAGAGAGGAGAGAGGTTAGAATTCGTCCTTAGGACTCCTTGGGAACAAGTACACAAATTCTAAGGCCTTAGGGTCTTTATATAGGTGTAGAGATAGGGTTTCAGTCATTATCCTTATCTAGTTG